CAGAAACAGGTACAGGACCACCCGCAGACAAAAGAGCCATCACGCCATTGTCTGTGGGCCCTGGACAGACACCAGGTGTTTGTCGTTACGCGACAAGGCGGCTGATGGATCTACCCGTCTCTTGATCACGGACGGGTCCACAGGCGTGCTAGATACCCATGGGACGGGGGGATAGAGCAATCATTCCCCCTCCCACAAGGCCCCGTAGAAGTTAAAGGGCCAGCCAACCCGAGGGAACTGTTGAAGTAATTGTGAGAAGACGTCTTCGGGCTATGTAGATATAATTAAGTGGAGAACGTGTGTATCAGCACAGCCGAAAGATGTGTGAATGTTCCATGGTTCATTAAGAATATATTTATTGAATGGTTTTTTTTAATGAATTTCACCACAAGGTCATAATAATATAATTACTGGAATGGATGGAGAGTAGTTTACCAGTGGGTTACCAAATAACCTTTATCTTTACACAGGATGATGACCGACATACTTTCCTGTGCCTGGTTGCTGTTGGTCATTTTGACCAGTTCAGTCCACGGACAGGATCATGACCGTCTACACTACGGGGTACTATTCTCCGAGAGAGGGAAACTCACAACGTATGACGAGTCATGGACACACACATTCGCCTTACACCTACCACAGCCGTACTTGAAAGGCATGTCTTACCATATACCTGCCTGCACGAACCACCGTAACGCTACATGTAGAAACACGCACTTTCATATAAGCACTATACTCAGTCTGGTTAGTTCTATCCACAAACGCGCCAATACTGACCTAGTAAACAACATTAAACTGATCAAGGATCTTATCCCGGACACTCCCGAGATCAAATCCAGATCACGTAAAACACGAAGTCTCTTACCTTGGCCCAAAACTACCCTGCATTTAAACGTCGACGTCCACTTGGCCCGCCATAACGATATGATATTTGTGACCTTACTAGTGCCTTTAGTGTCTGACGGTGCTGTACTGCGCGTTTACAGGACATTGACATTCTCACTTCCGACTCATGTGGCATCCACTCACGCAACTATAGTCCGTGATGTGGCTCCATATATTGCCATCTCCAGAGAAAGTGAGACATATGTAGAATTCCAGGTTGAACAATACGATGCGTGTTGTGGACAGTCACACATTCACTGTGATATACTGCCACCAGAATCCTCGTTCGCTTCACCGAGTTGTACACTCGCCCTATTCCTTAACGACATCGATTTGGTACATAGATTATGTAACTTTCATTTTTTACCAAATGGCACTAGGCCAGACATTTTTTAACTTAGGTCGGGTAAAGTCGTTTTACAAAACGTACCTGATATCAAGTATAAATGTGGAGGAGAGGTTAAGACCCACAAGGGATGTAGTTTGTGTCTTGCCCCTATGTATTGTTCATGCTCACTACTTGCAAGCAATAAAACTATTCCCCCACGTCTTAATGACTGCAGTATCCATAATAATGTCACCCAAATTGAATATCCAGTAAACATTGGGTTCTTACGCCATTTCTTCGATACAGATCAAATCCAAAACTCCATCCCCACATTGTTAGCTCAGGAACCGGTTCAATACAAAATGGCACCACTTCGTTTGGCAAATAGTACTTTCAACAAACTTATCCAAGCTGATAAACAACTAAGTGTCAATCTTCAACATGTGGTTGCACAAGCAAAGACAGACCAAATTATCTATACTGATCCTTCCAACCCACTATTTCTAAATTCAACGAGTGGAGAGTCCGATACATTTAGTTGGACCAACCCTTTCACGTATCTCAATATGGCAATGTGGGGAATATTGATTCTATTCGGATTTATACTATTTACTATGGAATTGAAGAATTGGTCACCTGAGGGTCGAACTATTAGCCCGTCAACCACGTCAGATATACTCGTCTGGACTCCCTCCACCCCTGCCAGCCCCACCCCCTCCATACTTGACCGTATTCAAGCTTATCTCAAATTAGAAATTGTTCTCCTCATATTGAATTCCTTATTGTCCTATCGCTGAGTTTGTATGTGTATAAACTTTAAACAAAGGTTGCGTCCATACTGTATACCTGCTTTTCTTCAGGCACGGAGTCCGTTTGTGTAAAAGTGAGATTAATGTACCACCCCTTGATCTGTCCCTTTCACACCAGGACTATTCGCCTTCATCTGTGGTCATTAATGACTCCTACAGGTTGTTCGCTGATCAACTCACGATTACTAGGCCAGGGAACAACTTATCAGTCGTTAATCATGTCTCAACAACGCGTCTATCTCTCCCTCCCCATCTCACCATATCGAAACTAGCATCCAGGAAACTCAAACAAATAATTAAGTCCAATTATATAACTAACTTAGTCCATGCTAATGTCCATTACTCTATCAGGGCACTCGACAGGACTACCCAACCAGACCCACCACCCAGTTATCCATATCGACTGTACCCTTCTATCGACTCTTAACGGTTGTCACTACACACTATAGCAGTGGTATGTGTGGATGGCACTAACAAGTACGGGAAATACTGCTCATAATCGTTGTGAGTGCTCATTGGTGTATTGTAACGATGATACACCTTCTGTATCGTATCAACGAAGCCAATGGCTACATCCATGTGTTTGTTGTTGGTTTGGGTTTTTTGGGGGGTCCATTCTCATTTATAATAAGGTAGCCAACATCATGTTGACAATATTGTCCATTATAAATTAGTCATTTGTACTTTGTGTAACCGTGGTATATAATCAATACTGTCAGTATGTACTTTTGTACTACAATCCTGTATATGTCTGTATTTATATGTACATGTATATAAAATGGTCCTCACGCAAATTATTGTAACTTGCCATGAATTTAAGTCAAGTACTCTATGTCCATAAAGAAATGACAAATTGAAATACCAACATATTTGTATACACTATTATACATGGCTGACAGGCCTGTCGTATCACACCTGCTTTTCCATCCGGACGCGTGTACGCGCCCTTAAATATTGGGGGGGCGTATATAAGAGGCAAGAATTACGGATCGGTCTCCGTATTAGGGAACCCGACATGACATGAGTCACCCCTCCCCCATCGGTCAAGAATATGATGAGGGGAGACATAACCCTGGCGTTGTGAGGTCGAGACAGGTCATGTAGTTTGCGAGGTCGAGTCGGTCGAGCTCCCGAGGTCGCCACTGGTGCCACACCATAAGGTTGGACCGTCCAGATCAGCGCTCCAAGCGGATTAGTGAAGGGAAGATAAATTCAAAAAGATCGCCCATTTAGATGCTTGACAGACTTTTCAAAATGTTATATTTTTTTTCAAAGTTGACTTTTAAGACACAGTTTTCGTTTGATTGGGCTGAAATTATTGCTGTCGGCGGCATTTTGTAAAATAAAAAAATAAATTTTTGTTCCGTCGGAAGGAAAATTTGGGTCGGTCGGGGGATGAGAAACACAGAACAAAATACGGACGGCCTAAAGCCAACGGATATTTTCGCTATCGGTTGGGGTCATATACGGATATTGATGCAACTTAGAGAGGTCATATGCAAATTTTAGGGACTACTTTTACAGTGTAAACAAACATGGTGTCACGCCCATCTATCGGTGATTGTGTCCGGATTAACAGCCGTGGTTACGGTACTTTGATCCAAGAAAATTAACGTCTGGTAATGATAGATGGAGTGGATTACGGAGCGAAGATAGAACTTCATAGGATTATTAAGATACCAACACCAGTTCCCTGACTGACGGTCAGTGTTAATGAGCAGACAGCAGAGGAATCCAGGTGCAGAATGTCATGAAATGCCCGAAACTAATTTTACTCGTCAATACGAGCAGACGAGTGGAGTTTTCAAGCCCTGTGTTTACAACAATACGTGCTTTAACATAAAAACTTACAGGGAACTAGATGATCTAACGCAGTCAATTGAGTGATCAGTAGAAACTTGTGTGACTGAGCTTGTGACATAACGTATTACTATGCACAAATTGTTACGTCAGAGTAATCTGTGCAGATTCAACGAAGTTTAGTTTCATGATTTGTGGCAACTGAAATCGCATAAAGTATGAATGTCATTGAATGATAAATAGGTTATCACACTCGTGTGTTTAGGAATGGTTAATATCCTGCATTAGGAATAAACACTAGGTATTAAGCTCGCCAAGGCTTGCTAAATACAATGTTTATTCCTAATGTAGGATATTAACCATCCCAAAACATGCGCACGTGATAACCTGTATGTAGCTGCAGTAATGGTGTAGTAGCGGAATTTCATCATAATCAGGACTTCAGCGAATGTTACAAGTTTGGACATGATAAAATACATAAATGATCATGATGCTGTACAAGGTTGGGCTTATTATGCTGACTTGTGGTCTGTTGTTAAATGAGAAAGGATCAGATTGATGATTCAAAAACCTGAGTAAGCAAATGAGTTACTATATACAGATACATATTGATAAGTTCAAACAAGGTAGGATTAACGTTCAAAGATAACATTCTAACAACAAAGATAAATGTAAGTAGAGCAAATTGAGTACAGTAAAATATAACAATTAGACAATCAAGATGTCTGTAGTGGATAATGTTGGACAAAGCACAGTACACGCTGGATAGGTTGATGTCTTGAATTCAGTTATCGACTGGCATATTTCTTTGGACTTTCCCATTCTCCAGTGATTAATAATGGCACAGAGAAATTTGGTTTGTTTCTTGGCAGTGACATGAAGTGAGGTGAAAAGAGGTAAGGTTATTGTATTTATTTAGTAATATGCACGTAAATGGTTGGATGTGTTGCTGCTTGTAGTAGTAGTATAGACCAATGCAAACATTCAAACTGAGCATATAAATTAACATGCACATGCAAACTATGAATTACGACCTTAAGGTCAAGGAGAAGTCTTCAACTATTGCATACGATGCGCCTGATTTTATAATTAATCTATTTTTACTGAACTTTGTGTTTAACATGTTACTTTATTCCCTTAGTAAATATTAATAAACTACTAACTTGATGTAGCCCTACCTGTCTGCAAGTATTTGTCTCTTGTGGCTTTGCTTGAAGTCGTCTCGTAGGTGCCAGTTGTTTGCGAATGGTGACCATGGACCCCCTACAAAATGAAGAGATGCATAAACCCTCTTTTCATGTTCCAACATCAAGCCACGTCCTTACAATCACCAGTTTCACTGGCTATCCTACTACCAACACAGCCCACAGGGGCAAAAAATATGAATACAAGAAAACCAAAGGAACAGAAATGTTGAGTTGAGAGATTGTGAAAAATTAAATCAGCTGTGTCTGCAAATTCTTGGATGCTCGAGAGTGAAAACTCTTGTCCACACTCTGTCTGCTGTATTGAAGTGACTGACACAATCAATTTAGTCCAGTAAAATTAGTGGAAAAAATCACTGAACCTCCAAAAAATTGGTACAGAAATGGTTTTGTGTTTATATCGTTTACAATGGTTATGTAAACAATACATAAAAAGTCTTCCCTTGGATGTTGATGCTAAGTGGCTTGTTTGGGGCAAAAACTATGAAAAATGGTATTTTTCAATTATTTTTTTTAATTCTGAAAAAAAGGCCAGAAAATGGTATAAAATCTTGCAAAACATACAACTGAAGTGTACAAAATAGTAAATAATGAAAATTAAAACTGAAAAAAATTTTATGACATGAGGTTTAAACTTGGATTTTGAACACTCCAGCACACTGGAAACAAGTAAATGAGAGTTATCTCCCCTTTGTTTACAATAAATCGAAGTAACAGAATGGAAAGGAAAGGTTATTTTTTTTTTTTAAACTCTAACTAGATGAGGCTATCGTTAGCCAAACAGATAAAGGATTAAATAGACAGCTAAAAGCTACAATTAAAAGAGATGAGGAGGAGGACTGAGGTGATTCAGCCTCATAATTAGCCCACAGAACTATATGCACTGCGGTCGTGTATGACTACGCACCTTGGTGATAAATGGGACATTCTGTATAAAGATTTAACAGAACTTGAAGAAACATATGCCAGAATGATAGATTAGGAAAATATGATACCATTAATATTTTCTATGCTATTAATTTTAAAACAATTTCAAAAGGTGATTGAAGGATAAGTTTGTTCTCTTTTAACTTTAACTGGCAACTACATATTATTATGTGAGCAGAGTGGGTGAGTATGTTTCTACACCGCTTTTAGCAATATTCCAGCATTATCACAGCGGGGGACAATGGAAATGGGCTTCACACATTGTACCCATGTGGGGAATCGAACCCCGGTCTGAACGCTTTAACCACTATGTGAGCAGAATTGAGTGAACCCTTGCAAATATTTAGAGCATAACTGGTATTTTTTTATCTGATTTGAAATCATTTGAAAAACGGACTGAAATCTTCATGAAAAAACATGAAACTAATTCACGTAAGTTAGATATATAACACATATTTTAACTGAAAAACATCTTTTTCGTAAACTTGGAAAAATCATTAACTTAGGCTTCTTGTAGTGAGTGAGTCTAGTTTTACACCGCACTCAGCAATATTCCAGCTATGGCGGCGGTCTATAAATAATCAAGTCTCGTCCAGACAATCCAGTGATCAACAGCATGAGCCTTGATCTATGCAATTGGGATATGATGACACGTGTCAACCAAGTCAGCAAGCCTATCCACCCGATCCCATTAGTCGCCTCTTAAGACAAGCATGGGTTACTGAAGATCAATTCTAAACTGGATCTTCACGGGTGCTGGGCTACTTGATCAAAGCTCTAGAAAGGTTTGAAAGCACAACCAGAATTGTCCTTTTTACTGCTAGTAAAAAAACTATTAATATTAGTATTTTTGAAACTGAAATAACTAATGAACAAATACTTTAAGTATTTCAAATACTTAAATAGTAGGTGGTGCATGCTTGTTTATCAATCATCTTTAAATTTTGCTCAGGAAACGAAAAGATCTCTGACTGACAAGAGGGATGACTATATATCCCATTGTATTACATGTCGTTGGGGGTAACTGTCATGAAATCATGTACAATTCAATGTACTGGTAAGTGAAAAACTATTGCAAGCACCGTTGAATCAAATCACCTCACCCAACCACTTCTCAAATATTTCAAGTTAGCCTGAACAAAACCCTTCAAATTATTGGACTTCCTTTACTCAGAATATCTTCTGTTACTGTTAAGTTTAGCTTGGAATAGCATTGTCACCAAGCACGATACTCAAAATTAATTCAAATATACAGACTATGAGACCAAGGGTATCTCTGTCAAGCCCTTGGTGTTCAGGGTCACCATCACTATAGTTCAAGCCAACCGTTATGTTAATTAATATCTTGTTCATTATTACAATCTCTAGTTACAGAAGGAGCTAAGTGCACCACTTCCGAAAATGGGTGTACACAGGGTCAGTTCATTCAATTTGCAACAGATAATTTAGATCAATCTGAGAACATGGATTAATGCATACCGATGATGTTTTTGCCAATTAGGTGACTGTTTGCCAAGAATGCTGAGGTGTTGATGCACTAAAAGGGATGGGTTCATATGTCCTGGGTTCATACGCTACGGAGATGCTGAATCAAATTGCTTGATGTCTTGAACAATTCATGTAGAATATAAAATGAAACACTAGATTGTATCATTCTCAGTATTGAGTTATGTCACCTTCGTGCCTATGATCAACCTGAATCCCAGACTCAAAGCTGTATTTGCTCAACTTATGTGTTTGTGAGCGGTCAAGACAAAGACGTACAATGTCGGTACACATTTCGACAAGCCACATATATTAGGTTAACCAGAGTCAAGTGATCTACACAGACTCATATTCACGTGGAAGTCAGCTGGTTGTATTTGACAAATAAAATCTCACATAGGACACTGTAATGGATTTACTGTGAGAATTTGTCACCCATATGTTGACATGGAAGTTCCATCATGCATGATCTGGTCCCCTGTACTTCAATCGGTTCCATGAGGTTACAGCAGATAAATATTGATGTGGATTTTAGTCTTTAGCAATAAATACACTCTTCTTTTAGTAAACCTAAACCTAGTGTCATGGACAAATACCTGGAGAGCAAAGGCACAACTTAGTTTTTCAATTGAACTCCTATTGGCGTTGGATATAGCCGTTGCAAGTATACAACTATGAACAAAGTCAAACGTATTGCCAAGAAAACAATAAATACACATTTCAACATCTTAAAATAGCTCAGGGCTCAAGTTCATAACTTGATCTCTCTCTCTCTCTGTTCAAAGTTTATGAATGAATATGTGTTAGTTTTAGAGATATAACAGCTTCTCCATACTGATAGAGGATAGTTCCCTTTCAGATTAATCATAACTTTGATGAGGCAAAAAGAGGAACTAAATTGCATGTTCCTGACGTTGTGTTTATTTTACCGTTGAAAATAGAAAATATATGCTCTGGAAAGTCTTTTATCTATGGTTTTATTCAAATTATGACTTTTCCAGTCCATGTATTAGTAGTTCCATGTGTCCTCTTTGAAAGTTTCCATATAAAAGTACAATTGGGTGTCAGTATGAGATTTTAAAACTTATTCTCTGAAAATTTTAACTTTTCAATTTTTTACCCCATATTCTTAGATACTTCGGTGAAAGATCAAAGGTGCCGACAATACTTTATCAGATGATAATGTGCACTTTTTGCATTACGTCACAATGCATTGGAATCACTGCACTCATTCTAGTCTGCCCCCTCGTAATCGAACAATTTTCCATTACGTCACAATGTAAATGACGTCACGATGCATGTCAGTTGTCATCGCCTCGTACAGCCTCCTACAGTAAACTATCCCGTTGCATCCCGTTTCTTGGTTTGCAGTTGCTTCACGCAGCTAACATCACTGGTGGAAATATTACGTTTATGTTTTCTGACAGTTAAAATGTCTCAACTCGACTCACAAGTTTTCAGCGACACGGTAACTTTCGCAATGTTTACATTCCCACAATGCCATCGTGGAATGTCGCTTGACTACTCGGCTTCATTTGGATGTACTGATCTAAACTTACGTTGGTAGTAGAAATGCGACGTTCATATTGCCCCATATGGTTTACGTTAATCACAGATGTAATGAAAATAATTTAGAGAAGATATTTAATCGTCATCAAACTGTTTATCATTTGTTTTTTCTGGTAACGTTCGTCTTAACGTAGGGGGCCAGACACATGAATAGAACAGCGCGCCAGTTAGCCCTGTGCGAGGATTCGTAATTTAGGTCACCGACACCGTCATTTGTTTTCTGCCTTAGATTAATCGTAATTATCCTTAGAAAGTAGTAAATTTGGCATCTTAGAAAAGAAATACAGTTCACTCTACCACCATGTATTGTGTAATAAAGCACACTCTCGCCCTGAACTATTATAACGTTAAAAGCACTCAAACGCAAGCGTCCTCATGCTTTAACTATGATAGTTCAGGGCGAAAGTGTGCTTTATTACACTATACATGGTGGTAGAGTGAACTGTATTTCTAAAATAGGATTTAGCATACATCTATTTGACTTTTATAACCCATGTATTAGTAATACCTTGTGTTCTCTTTGAAAATATCCATAAAAAGTACATTTGTGTCTCAATATGAAATTTTTAATAATATTCTCTGAAAATAATTTACCCCAAAATAGGACTTCCGGTAACATTATTTGACTTTTCTAATTCATCTATTGGTAGTACCTTGTGTACTCTTTGAAAATATATATAAAAAGGTAAATTTGTGTCTCAATATTAGATTTTTTAAATTATTTACTGAAGATTTCAATTTTTAAACTTTTTACCCCCCAAAATAGGACTTAGCATCATATTTCAAGGGAGGACTTTTTAATACTCATTAGTTATAACTTAAACATATTGAAAACATTCAAATCATTTCTGTACCAATTATTTGGAGGTTTTGTCACATTTTGACTGGACTAATTACATGACAGACAGGTCAGAGATTGATTGCATGAACTTTGAATACAATGTCACATTTGGGGTAAAATTTTATTCTGCCCAAAATAACTTGTACCTGCGTGACCTCACTAGAACTAAGTCAAACATTCTTAATGAAGCATATTTCCTAACCGGGGCAGTCGACAAATAAAGATTTACCACCCAA